AATTTATTATAAAAAATAATATAAATTTTAATTATAATATATATATAAATATAATATATATTAATAATAAATTTATATTATATATAATTAATAAAATAATATTATTTTAAATAATAAAATTTTTAAAAAATATAATAATTAAATATATTTAAAATATATTATAAATAATTTAAATAAATAATTATTTTAAATTATTTAATAATTTAATATTTAATATTAAAAAGAATTTTATTATAAATAAATTTATAATTAATATAAAAAATTTATTAATTATTATCGAAAAAATATTAATTAAAATATATAATTTAATAAAATAATTTAAATAATATTATAATTTATTATAATAAATATATAAAATAATATTTAAAAATTTATAAAATATATAAATAAATAAATATAATATTTTTTAAATAATAATAAAAATTATTAATAATATAATTAAATTTAATAAATTAATATTTACGTTATTTATATTTAAAATATATTTAAAATTTATAAAAATATTATTTTTAACTTTTTTAATTATAATAAAAATTATAATTATAAAAAAAGTAATAATAAAAGTATATAAATTTAAATTATAACGATAAATAAATAAAATTTTAAATATAAAAAACGGCTTAAATATTTTTAATATTTTTAAATTATTATTATAATTAAAAATTTAAATTTATTAAAAAAATAAAAGTTAAATAAAATTTTATAAATTAATTATATATAATAATAAAATATATATTATTAAAATAAATAATAAATTAATAAAGTTTTAAATTATAATTATTAAATTTTATTTAAAAAACGAATATTTATATATATTATATAATAATAATAATTTAAATATAAAATTTATTTTTAATAAAAAAAAAAAAATAAATATATATTATAATTTAAAATAACGATTTAAAAAAAATTATAAAAATAATCGTTTAAAAATAAAAATAAATTAAAATAAACGGTAATATATTAATTATTTAAAAAAGTGAAAAATGTAAAATTTAAAATTTATAATGTAATTTTAAAAAAAAAGAAAAATAACCGCTTTTAATAAAGTAACATTAATCGTGTAATATGCCCATTATTACCCGTGTAATAAAACGAGGTACGTACCTTGTTTTTTCTTTTTTTTTTTAACGTTTACCTTAATAATTTTACAAATATTAATTCAATTTATATATAATTTATACCATAATTTAAATAAGAAAATAACAAAAATTACAATTTAAAGTATATGTAATTCGGCTTAAAATCGGTAAAAATATTTAAAAAAAGGGTAATTATATATATAAAATAACTTTTTTATTAATACCTATTAATTTATTTTAACTTATTATATAGAAACAGTTATATTTTTACGAAATAAATTAGGAAAAATCACGGATTTACTTTATAATATTAACTATTTAATTATTTAAATATTAAAGCTTTCCCGGGATTTATCCGGGTTATATTAATAAAGTTATTAAGGTTAAAAGGTGTTAATATTATAAGGGATAAAAGTTATTAAAAAAAGCTTTAAAATAACCATTATAATTAAAATTCATACTTTTAACCGCATTTAAGTTAATATTAATCCGGATTATATGTAATTTAAGTTAAAATTTTACTTATTTTTTTATTTAAATTATAATATAAATTATATATAAATCGGATTAAAATTTATAAAGTTATTAAAGGTTAATTATAAAAAACGATTTTAAATTACCCGGTACGTACTTTATTTACCTTAAGTTTACGAAAGGTTATTATGTTACGTTTTTTTTTTATAAAAGTTTACCTTATTTTTTTATTTTAAAAAAATTATTGTAAATGAAAGTACTTTAATTATTTTTACTTATATTAATTAAATATATACTTAAATAAAATAAGTTTTAATCGAGATTTAATTAAATGCATTTTAAAATAAAATAGGTTTTAATTAAAATTTAATAAAAGTTATTTATATAATAAAAATTTAATTAATTATAACCACGGTTATATAATTTATTACACTTACGTAATTAATTATAAAACTTTTAACTTAACGTTATTACGGTTAAAAGCCGTAATAACGTTAATAAAAAGTTAATTAAACATTTTAAACTTAATCCGGTTACGTAACAGGTAAAAACGCGGCGTTTTTACTTGCGTAATAATGCATAAAAAAAAAGAAAGGATGCAAGGTTTAGGAATTAAACCGTGGTTAAAGGGGGTTGTTATATGGCTTATATGGCCGCCCGTTAAGCCGCGGGGGGTTACGGGTGCGAGGCACGTGCGAAGCACGTACCTTACACCCGTAACCCCCGGCGCGGCGAGGCAAGGCGGCCACTTAAAGATTTAACCAATTAAATCAATTGCCTGGCTTGGCCTAGTCGTAAACTCAAGGTTATTATACAAGCCAACGGGGTTACCTTTTATTATTACACGGGTAACAATGGGCATATTACACGACTAATGTTACTCTTTTAATAAACCTTTTAAAAAGTTTAATAAATTTAAAATTAAAAAATTATTTAAAAAAGGCGTATTTTTATTTAAAAAGTTTAATTAAAAAAAATATAAAAATACTTAAATTTTTAATTTAAAAATTATTTATAAAATAAAAAAAAAATAATTAATATATTATATAAAAAATTAAAATTTATTATATAAAGTTTTAATAATAAAAATAAAAAAGAAATTTTAATATAATTATTAATAATTTAATAAATAAATTAACGAATTATATTTATATTAACTTTTAAAATATATAAAAAAAATAAAAAAATAATAATTTAATTATAAAATATAATATAAATATATATATAATTTTAAAACTTTTTTATTTAAAAAATTATAATTAAGTTATTAAAAAAATTAACGTTTATATTTTTAAAAAACATAATTATAATTATAATTAAACTTTTATACGGTATTTTTAAAATTAAAATATATTAATAAATAATATATTTCATTTATTATAAAAAGAAATTATTTATAATTATATTAACTTATAATTTATACTTTTTAATAATAAATATATTAAAACGATTTAAATTAATTATAATATAAATTAATAATATATTAAAAGTATTAAATAAATTTTTTAATAAATTAAAAAACGAAAAGTTTAAAAAAATCGGATTTATTATAAAATTTAAAATATACTTTATAAAAAAAAAAAAGTTAATTTTTAATAAATATATATTATTTAAAAATAAAAAAAGTAACGTTTATATATAATAAAAAAAATAAAAAAAAAAGATAATATTTATTAAAATCGGAAAAAATAACATTTTATAATAATATATATAATAAAAAACTTAAAGTTTATATATAATATTTATTTATTAACTTAAAACTATATTTAATTTAATAAAAACGGTATAATATTAAAATTTTAAAAAAAATAAAATAATTAAATTAAATAAAAGATTATAATAATAATTTAATAACTTTAAACAAAGAATTCGATACGTATTTATCGATTTAATTACGATTAAAATATTTATTTTTATAAATAATTTATTTATAAATAATAAAGATTTTAACTTATAAATTAAATATAAAATTATTATTATAAATAAAATAAAAAATAATAAATTATTTATAATAAAAAATAATATAATATATTAAAACTTAATTAAATATCGATAAATTATAAAAAACATATTAATAAATAAAATATATATAATAATTTACGGCGTAAATATAAAATTAATTATTAATATAATAATAACATTTATATTTAAATAATTAAACCTTTAATTTTTATAAGTAATAATTTACATTAATTTATTTTTATTATATAAATATATTATAAAACTTAATAATATAAAAAAAAAACGATTTATAATTAATATTATATTATTTTAATAATTTTATAAATACCGTAAAATTAATAAAATTTAATAAATTTACGGCGAAAATAATTTAATTAATATAATAATTAAATTAAATTTTAATAAAGTTTTAAAAAAATTTATTAATTTTAATTAAATTTAATTACGGTTATAAAAATAAGTTAAACGAATTCGCGATAACATTACCGAAAATATTACCGAAAATACTTTTAAATAAAATAACGTAATTGTATTTAATCGAAATTATATTATATACGAAACGAAAAAAAAAAAAATATTATAAAAAAAGTAATAATTAATAATATTAACTTAAAAATAATTAATAAAAAAAAAAAGAAAATTCCGATATATATACGAGTGTACGTAATTACGTAAAAAAGAAAAAACTATTAATATTAAAATAATAATTACATGTTCGCGTAATACGTACATTAAAGTTAAAGTTAATAAAGCCGTACTTTATTTATAATTAAGTAAAAAAGATTTTTTTTACAATTTATAAATCTTTTTTTACTTAATTAATTACATAATTAAAATTTAATTAATTAATCGTTTCATTATTATATTTTATTACTATCCGAATATGTATTCGTATAAAGACCTTAATATTATTAATCTAATAGTTAATCTAGTCAACTGTAATGTTAATGGTTCTAGACTATAAGACGTTTCTAGTTAAAATCAATATCACTCCTTCTGTTATACATTCTGACATGAACGTAGCTCTCTCAATCAATACTTACAACCTATCAATATCGACGGAAGTTTGGTAGTAGCCCCTTTAGATACTTAACTTATATGTATCATGATACCTCGTCGCAGTAAAGAGGTCCTAAGCAGCTAGTATAGGTAACTCGGCGCTACTACCTTAAGTTGGGTACAGATAATATCAATTTTAAGCCAAGGTTAAGAAATTTCTATGGGAAAGGATCTTGAGATGTGTGTGTGCCTAGTTGGTGGATATCTGCAGGTCGTCCTAAAGAGTCGGCTATTGGCTGCCAATGAGTGGGATGAGTCGGCATAATTTGTTGGAAAACGCCTTTACTAAACCGAATACATAATCCTACCTAACTTCTCTGCGAAGTTCCAAGAATATCAAAATGGCGGCCCGTGTATTCTAATAGGCGTATATATGTCTACATATATGTCTACACCATTCCAATACCGCCCCTTAACAAAGTCTGGGGAGATTAGGGTCTTCACTCTTGATCCCTCGCCAAATCGAGAAGCAGTTCTGAAGGGCTCATTCCAACATATTGTACTTCTTACCCAGTATTTTACTGACCATTATGTCGCTCTGTCATATGTATGGGGTGACAGCACAACCACTGATACAATTCTTGTCGATGGCCACAAAATCGGAATCGCTGCTAACCTCAGCGCCGCATTAAGAGACATCCGCAATAGAACAAGAGTTCTCCGAATATGGATTGACGCGTTATGTATTGACCAAAGAAACATCCCTGAACGGAATCGACAAGTCGCTCTAATGGGGGATATCTACTCCACCGCAAGTAGCACGATAATCTATCTTGGTCCATTAAGCCCGGATACCCAGCTTATTTTTCAACGACTACGTGGGGGAATGTTTAGAAGTTTTGATAATGCTAGTAGTATAAATTTAACCCCTATACGTCAACAGGACTTGGAAAGTAACGGTCCATCAAAAGAGGTTTTGGATCTTGCTGCAGCGTCAAGCCAACTGTTAGCCAGACCTTGGTTTCGTCGGGCTTGGACATTTCAAGAATTGGTTCTTTCAAGGGACCCTTGGTTCCAATGCGGATCAAGACATGTTAGGTGGATGGATCTTTGTAACCTGCTACTCCCTTTGCTAAGGGAGTACCAATCGGGAATGGAGGTCGACTTGGTGCGTATGAAGGAAGTCCACGATGCCGTCCACGCGCGTAGCGATACTGACCGAGGCACCTTGAGTCTATGGCGGATTCTAGAGATCAGAGGGAGAGCTCAGGCGACTGACCCGAGAGACCTCATATATGCGAATATGGGACTTCACTTGGACCGTCAAGAGGTCGGAGAATTCGTACAAATCGATTACAATAAGACAGCCCGGGAAACATTCATCGAAGTCGGCCTTTACGCGATGAAACATGTTGGTTTTAATCGGGCGTTATCTAACATCTCCGTCTCCCCTCTCAGATCTATTCTCCCATCATGGGTGCCTGACTGGGGTTTCGACGCCAAGTTGGAATCTATCGACGGCCAACGGGTCGATGGGACAGATCACAGTCCTTTAACATCAGAGAAGGATGTGCTCTTAATAAGGTCTAAAAATCCCCCGCTGGTTGTCACTCACGTCAGCGAGATTCTACCATCCCCGAGGTCGCCCCAGGACAGCACCATGGATAATATGACCATGATAGGGGGTAGTGTCTATTTCACAAAACTTTCACACAAACCAATCAAAGATTCAGTTCCAAAGTTATGGTCGGAGTTCGCTTGGTTACGGAGTGTGCTCGAGGAGGGAGGCTCTCACCCTATTGATTGGCTAAATAGTATTAGTGATGATAACGCCTGTGAGCTAATATTGAAGCTCTATAATAAAGACATACATGATCCGAGAAACCCGTCCCGACTAGCTTTACTCGACAATTCGATAGCCACTATTGTCAATGAGAGGGTGCGTGCTGGAGATAGCATTGTCAAATTGGAGAGTATCCAATTCTATCAGGGGGGAATATTTCATACAAGCGAACAGGAATTCCCGGCGCGAATTGTCATTCGCAAGTTAGAGTCAAATTTCCCCTCCGAACTCGACAATAGGATTGTTGCTATGTTTCCTCCAGACGATAGATATATCGGACGACGTCAACATTGCCGCCTGATAGCCCCTCAGGCGATACGCATTGAAGAGACGACACTCGAGCGAGAGACTTTATTAATCGTCCATTGATAATTATCTATACTACTATATCAAAGACGGGATTTACTTACTTGCTGGTACGAATCTCTATAGATTGTGATAAATATAGATTAGCCGTCCAACAACTCACAAGGGTGGCGACTGTCTTGTAAGTGATAGTTGACATAACTAAAGCGTCTCTTTAGTGCACCTTGGGAAAGTTATTGTTCATGGAGCTTTTCATTAAGATGTGCTAGGCTGTGATCTACTCGAGAACAGCCCGATCTAATGGTCTAGTGCGCGACCCCTCAGTCTCCAGTCCCCCCAACCCCCCCTTTTTTTTTTAAAAAAAAAAAAAGAAATATGTCATGGACGATATCTCCCCATCGTCTCAAAACTCCACAACGCCTAACCAGCATATTGAGTGATCATGCATCTAAATATATCATAGCCCATACCCCAAAATTACTCTAAAACGCCGCGAATGCAATGCCCAATGGTCATAATTCGTAACTCGTGATGTAGAAGAAGGAAATAACAGAAGTGCCACCCCATTTATAACTTTACGTTGGGAGGGGGTATTATTGGTTCGTCATGGTGGGATTTGACGTGGCCGATCATCGGTTCGGGGCTCATCCTTGACGATCTGAGAGAAGATATGGGTGAGGACGTAGGTGAAAAGTCGGTCTCGATGGATTTCCTCGGCTGCGGCCATTCTGCTTTTTCGCTCTGTGGTTCCGTCCAGCGGTTGGGAGCAATTCGTCGTACCACCTTGGACCAGTTGAGGGCGAGATAATAAATTAGGCAAGCGGATACCACGACCACGACGGCGCAGACGACGAGTCCGATGATCAAGTTTTTAGGGAAGTCGTCCATATTTTTTTTTATATTTTTGTTGATTCGGTAAGTTCGGATGCGTTAAGTTTCTTTCAAGCGGACGTATAAATATTGTATGTTGCGACTAGAGCGGCGAGCGAGCGAACGAACGAGCAAGCGAGTTAATGTGAATAGGTGTCTAGCGGGTGCCTATCTGATGCTCGACAAGAACGAGAGTTGCGCAACAATACAATACAGAATCAGATACTTTACCTTAGACGAGATGCTTCACCGTAACTTATATTGAGCGATTTTGCTGTACGTCACGGGCTCTGGGCAAGACCACAAAAGAGTGAAGAGTAAGCAGGTTTCTCCTCTTCCGAGTATCCGGCGATGCAGCACACAGGGCACACACACCATTTTATTCATTCACAATGGCACACGTAAATATATGTACCAAGACCAGTTGGCGCTAGGAAGAGCCGGACTTTGCGGGCTATCCGGAACCAAAGTAATGGATATGGATATCTTTATCCATCTTGTCACATCTTGTCATATCAGGACCCAGAAGAGCCGCAGAACAGGGTCCGCACTGATGAAATTTATTTGTGTAGATCCGTGCCATCTTTCGTCATCCACTTGATCAATAGTTCAGCCGCACTACAAGACGTCAGCTGGACCCTGAAATCGCATAAAATCACATAAAATCGCAGATGTGGCTTAAGAACTTAACCCTTCTCGGTTTGGTGTACAGCGGGATGCTGTCATATCGCGCACCATCCCGCAATATTATCAGCGCCTATGATTTAAGAGACCCTTGATTTTTTGATATTAGGAAATCGATATTTGCTTGTCGTGATCGAATGGTTACATAGTTGATATTTTAAACTATTTGCCACTCGGGCACACATGCATCTTGTTTGAAGTATTATTGGACCCGAAGATCATTGATCACATGATTTGATCCTCTCCATTCAGCGGAGAGGAATTGAATACCCATATAAATAGGTACCTAGGTTTAGCAACGATGACTTCAACCTCAAGTTTTTATACACTAGCTAATAAACATCTAGGCACCATGGTTCAAAATATATTTTATGTCGACACATCATAATATATCCCAATAAGAACAAGGGCTCAGTATAGAAAACTAACTGAAGTTGATAGTTATCTCATATAAATACTCAGAATAAAATATATCTCCTACTGTTCGTTACATGCCAAAAGTGATCACGTGATAGATCATCAACGGACAGTAACCCAGGTGATCAAGCAAGACTTATAATAATCTAAAAAGCCTATTTAATAATCTCATGTAGCAGACCAGCAGCTCTATTAATATTAGTTGTTCCTGCCAAGAAAACTAGGCCATAATGGCGATTAAGTCAAATATTCACATGTTGGCCACCGCTTGTTTACGTACAATGCAACCTCCCTAAAGAAGTTACGTCCGTTTATCAATTGAAATTTTTATTCTCGGCCTATTCCAGAAACTACAAAGGGATTCTCGAACAAGGTTATATAATTCGTTAACGGCGCAGAACACCGAAAATATGATGTAGATCTTTACCAGAAGTGTTGTTGTAGTTGCAACATACCTAGCAAATCACGCAATTACCATTGAAGCCTACAAACTCACTGATTTACGCATAGTACAAATATTCTATAATATCGCGATAGATATATTGTTTGCAGTAAGTGTGTAGACTATCTAGGTGTATTGTCGATAGGGGTTGGCCCGCATGATAGAGAGATCACGGGTCAAAATGATAGGGGGAAGTGTTGGTGGGATCATTATCAGCATATCCAGGTAGACAATAAGAGCTCTTACTTTTTAATAAAGCAAAAGTTACCGGCTTTATTGTACTGCCCGAGGGAATATATTCAACAAGCTATCCACTGGAAATTGCGGGCGCCTATTCTATTGCGATCGCGATGGGACACAGTTATAGCCCCTATTTATGCCTCGATCATAGATTCGACCCTGCGGTTGTTTCGGTAAGAACTTTTGAAAATAGGTCGTTCAAGTTTATTACATGTCGCATGCAAATCGTACAATATCTTATACATAAATCCGGCGGATCTGTTAAGTCCTGCCAGGCATGGCCGTTCTGGGTATCATAAATTAAGGCGACTTTCTTCCCATAGATTCCATCTCGTATCCTTGTTCACTGTCGTTGTCGCTTCGGTCATGATAACTCAATCTGACTTCTTGTGTTTGTACAATCCCTCCACTCCCCTCAGATGATTTTCCCGGTGCGTGTGCTCCGTCGAGAATACTTTTATCGCTACTCGCGTCGCCGTGGGGATCATGCGGGCCCCTCCGGGAACTGATAACTGTCGTTACGACATTGCTAGCATGTAGACCCCTCGAAGTGCCTTTCGTATGACTCTTGAGGCCTGATTTATTTCCAGTGCTGCGGTTGTAACGGTCCATGGATGAGGATATTTCTTTGATCAAGGCTCGTAAAACAGGGATCGATGCCGCAACGATGGTGGCCGCTGATTCAACCACATACCATATAACAAGCGTTGTTCCTTGAGCTAATAACAAGCCAGTCATCAAGTTTATAAGTGTACTCATTATGGCGCTATGAACTTACTCGAGAATGTCCCTACAGTGAGGAGCGGTAGATAGATACATCGCATAACAGCGGTTATTCCAGCACTAGACAGTAATTAGCAAGCCGTTGAATTCTTAGTTGCGGCGACTTATACATTACACCGCAGCTCATAGCAATTGCAACGCTGAATCGTTCTCTCATCTTCATTTGAAGATTCATGATCAAAAACCAGGGGATAATCGCAAACGAGAAATCCACGAAAGCGGAGTAGCCTACACAGCGAGTCAGCGACCTAGTTCACCTCATAAACTGGATAAAATATAGCACAGAATTCACTTACTGCCAACGAATATACCATAGCGAATATATTTCTCGGTGCTCCAGCAACCGGGCCCTTTGATCCAAGAATATATTTCCGGCTTGCATTTTAAGAAGGTGAATATAATGTACAGAAACACGGCCAGGTTCATGGTGACGGTGAGAAACAGGACAAGCATTTTCATCCGGCCCTCGGTGACTCTCAACAGTGCAACTCCAAATGAAGTCTTTGTCATAACCGTGGCCAGTCCGAAAAACAAATTCTGTACACCTCCGTGGATTTGAAGTCGAATGGCAGCCTCAGGGGTTTGAGGTCCTGCCGGGCTGGTAAATCCTAATGAAATCGAGCTGGTAATGGAACCGACAGTGACGATGAGACATGCCTATAGCGCCACCATAGTATGTTAGAACACATCTTATTACAACTAAAGTCGAGATCTCATCACTTACCCAAGCGAATATTAAGATATGATCGTCCCACCACAACCCCCTATGACGACTGAACTTGCAATACAGTCGTAGACCAGGAAACGTCCCCGCGAATGCTGCCAATGCCCAATTGACAGCGTTCATCATGGGCCCTAAGGTATCCTGTGCTGCCGCCATTTTGACCTGTCCCCTACGTATGCTAGTATACACAAGATGAGGGTGTGTATTGTGCGTGGTATATGTAAAGGCAGTTGATGCCTTCGGAAATAGAGCTAATATGATCGTTTAGACAATTTCTACATCTCAGGACACTTATTACGAAGTTTGGATTGGAGGCTGGTATAGTAGGTTAATTATAGATGTGGGCTCGCGTCTATCTACTTTGAACAATAACAGTGGGTAAATCCCTGATGTCTACATGCTCATTATTCGTGAGATCAATGACTCTCACAGCTTCAACACTTACAATGCCTTCTTTCAAGGCCAAAAACCTAAGCTCAGCAATGTGACATGCTCCGGGTGCGAGCGGTCCCACCCTCACATCTGGACTTAAGCAAACTATCTCCGCGCCTTCGATGATACTATTGTGTTGCATGGCGTGGACTACGTTCTCGTCAAGAACAGCATCTGCTACGTTTCGATCCCGTGGCGTCTTTAGTTGTTGAGATAGGCTATGCGAGACTTCGGGCAGTCGAGAAATCGAGGGCGGTCGGTTGACTCGAGATTCATTACGCCTCCGTTTTGGAATCACCACTATTGCTAGCTTTCTTGGTGCTGCCGACGGCGCGGGTGATCGGTTAACGACGAATACATTCCAGACGAACTCATCGCCAGGGAAGATCTGATGACTTGGGGGCGGGCCAGTGAAAGTCATAGCAATGCCTATATCGGGCATAGTGGTCTCTCGTGTCGTTGCGGCTTCAAGGGAGGGCAATGCGTCTGGTCGGGCAATAGATGGTGCCGTTAGAGATATGGTACTCTCACCCCCGATCGAGAGTTGACTTGGTCTATGCATGCGTTGGATCGGTTGCATGGTAGAGCCGTACCCTGGATTGACGGGGACTGTAAAATCAACCGTGGTAGTCCACGCCATGCTTAATCGTGGTTCGGATATATCTGGACGAACTAGAGCCTTCGCAGAGATATCAATGCTAAGATCCCGTATCGGATTTTTTGATACTATATTAGCTTCAGCTGGTGAAATACGGTATAGAAACGTGATGTGGTCGTGAGCTACGCAAGATATAGGTAGTGGCATTCCAGACTGGCTTGCGAGATCTTCTACTAAACCCTCTGCGACTGTAATTGATATGCTGTCAAGTATTATCTCGCAGTCAAAGAAGGGTGTAAAGTCAAGCTCCAGCATCGCGAGGACGGTTGCTGTAGCAGGCGTGGTATTGAGATGGGTAAAACGCATGCGCGAATGCGCCGCTGGGTAGATGCGCATAGAAAGTTTAGGCGAAGACTTGATAGGCCGTAGCTGACCCTTGGCTTGCTGTGTGACTGGCGCAACACGAGATACTCGGAGTGCCGATAGATGGGGCTTGATCCCGTTCATAGCAGGATCATCTCCGAAAGATTCGAGTAAATTGAGACCCCATGCCATGCCGCTTGGTAGATATCCATCGCGAAGCCCATCGGCTAAGGATTGATTTCCGGTCTGGAAGCTCGCTGTCGCATTGAAGACAATAGAAGGGCTCTGAAGTCGCATCCTAGGCCGACTGAGAAATACCGATTGCTTCCATACAGCCAAGGAATACTGCTGAGGGCCATCTTCGGAATAGGTGTCATGTTCTTCTGAGAGCCTGAATAATATAGTTGGATCCTTCTGGCCCTCTACTACCCCTGTGAAAATGACTTCGGAGGCCGGTTGGCCGTCGCGGTCTGGTGCGGTCCCATTGACGATTTGCGCCTCGAGAGAGAGAATTACATTTCGCAGGGCGGA